ACACACACACACACACACACACACACACACATTCTGGGTTAAATCAAAATAAAATCACAGAAAATAATATTTAATAGATTTATTTATTAAAAGTTTTAAATACATATAATTTCTACCTTATTACACAACTTTATAACCATACGGTAAAGTGTCAAAAGAACCATCGTCTAGACAGTAAACAACTCAGCACCGCCACGGCTGTGCTGATCCAATTCTTCCGCCCGCGTTCGTGTCCGCCGCTCCGTCCGCGCCCGTTTCCGCGTTGCGGGAATGGCAACAGTTGTATCAAACTAATGTCATCAATAATAGTAACCTTGAATTTCGTCAATGGTTTGTACCAACAATATTTGAGACTCATTATAGAATAAGGCGATTACCCCCCACGGTGGTTCATGGGGCTTGCGGTAGAGATACCATAAACAAATTTGCCAGACAGGCTTCAAGGGTTTATCGACCGCAAGGCTGTTTAATCCTCAATAAAGTTTTGCATACGTTAATCCCAAATATTATCTTAGTTACGACTATATGAATGATTTTGACGGRACAGAAGCGACATTGATAATTTTGGAAGATGTGATGAGAGAGGCTAACGGCAGCGTGGTTGATATTGTAAATCAAATAATATCATCTTTGCTTTGTAATAGATAAACGGTAGACACGAAATATTTGGTAACATAGTGTATAGAACCGAAATACAACATTATTTGAGGATTTTCATTCATAATGACCGGCGCCACTTGGGCCGCTCCAACTTTCAAATTTGTTAATGTTGTATAATAAAAGACGGATTTAGTGTATAGAATTGAAATACAACATTATTTGAAGATTCATAATGACCGACGTCACTTGGGCCGCTCCAACTTTCAAATTTGTTAATGTTGTATAATAAAAGACCGATTTACCTGACGCTTTGCTGTTTCGTCTAAACGTCTGAGATGCTTTAAAATCAGTGTAAAATCTTTATTAATTCAACTTTTAATTGCTGTYATACAACTTGATTAGTATAATAGATAAATTGTAAACAAAAAGGATATTGTTAACATTAAACATTGGAAATACAATTTGAAAATTTGTGTATCTGGTACTGTTGATTACTGTAAAAAATGAATAAATAAACAAATAACATTACTTTAATTATCGAGAAAGGTTTGCGCTATAATAGTAATAATAAATAAAAAATAAGTAAATAAATAAATAAAAATAATTTAAACTTAAAGTGGCGGGTGAAATTTTCGTTACGTATCCACCAAGTTTTCACAAGCCAAGCGAATTTGGGCCCAACCACTAATTACATTTTTTTTTATAATTATTGATTTAAATGTTTATTAGGACAAATGCACAATAATTTTTCCAAAGAAATCGTTTATGGAATGAAGAATTTAACTGGTAAGACGTCTATTAATACATACATTGTTAAAAGTTAAACAAATGATTGTTTATAGATGGAAATGTGAATAACAGGAGCGATGACGAGTCCTGGTAATACGAAGAATACGAAGACGGTCCTTTAGGTAATTAATTAATTACATGCTCTTGTTAAATATTTTTATATTATAAATTTACGTATTTGCAGATACAGTTGAAAATGTTGTAAATCAAATCGGCGCAGGTCAAGTTGATGATAATGAAAATTCTTCTTCTGATGGTAAGTAATAGCAACAATTTATTAAATATGTGTATACTTCAATATTTGCTTGTTACAGAATTCAWCTTCATTACTAAAAATGGTGAAAGTGAATCATTTATAAAAAAGTTTAATACAATGGCGAGGCGTATGAAGTTTTCCTTTAAAGATAATGCACCGGAGAATCCAATCMAATGGATACAAGTAAGTGGCACTTTATGGTTGTAAATAAGTTTATTAATGATATATATTTTTCTTTTAATAGAATGCAATTCAAGAACTGTTGACGTATATGTTTAGAGGATTTGCATGTGATGACTATGTCGGCTTAGTTCTTGAAAATGAAGAATTCCCCGAGCGACCTGTGTATATTTCTTTCCGAAAATTATCGCAATACAATGTCGCAATGGTGATGGAAACTATTGCAAATGTTCTTCAGAGCAATCGTGCTTTCATTGTGAATGATCGTTTGTCGGTACGGCTGGACAGGGTGGTTTTACCTGTCGGAAAATGATTTCGTACCGCAACTGATGGATTAACCGTAAGTTATAAAGAACTGTAACGAAGCGTTTGGGATTTTCCACTATACGTCATCGGCCTGCGCGTTCATGGGTATCCCCACCGAATTCGACCGTGTTTGTTTACCTCCGAAGCGGATAAAAGGCGAGCGCGACGTACAATCCGACACAATCATCCGTTCAGGGATTAAGGGTCAAGGACTTTTATCACTTAGGTGAACGCGAGGGGTTTTAGTGGGTATGGCCTTTTGGCGAGTCCCACATAATCAGTCTGGTTTGACCAGACTGGTATGCGTAAATGCATTTCCCCTCTCCAAAAAAAAAAACAAAAAAAAAACAATCCAACACTTACTTACCGCGCAATATTACCGGTAAGTTAGGCTCGAGGTCCGCCCCAGGTGTTGCTGCGAAATATCACCAGCACACCATCCGAAAAACGCTGGAAATACTACCGGCGTTCCCCGTTCCGAATATTCCGACGCTGCGAAATATTACCAGGTAATCCTTACCGTTCCGATCACGCGGCTGCTGCGAAATAATACCAGCAGGCCATCTCCGTCCGAAACCACGTGGACCGCTGCGAAATAGTACCGGCGGCCCCTCCGACAAATTGTAAATAGTTGTGTGTATTTAGGAATATTAAATAAGTTTTAGTTTGAGTTTGTGTACATATATTTTATTGTTAATTAAAATACATTTTTATTTAATCCTACTCTCTCTATTAAGTCCCCAAGTCCCCGACGAACCCTACAGTCGACCGAGTACCCGGAAAAGAAAGCATTGCAGAACATTGTCTTAGTAAAAATAGCATATATGTATGTTATTGAAAATAATAACAATAATTGTTTGGCATTAGCATTAGTAGTCGCGAGAGAGTATTGCAATAGTAATTTTAAAAGATCCGCTTTAGAAAAATTTGAAGTAAGAAACGTGAGAAATCTTTTAGAACAATTAAGTGCTGAGATATGTAGAGAGGCGGATGTCGATTTAGCAAATGGCGGTAATTACCACACATGTTGAGAAATTTCAGAAATATTTGGCAAATTATACAATTATTGTATACGAGATAGCATGGGTCGATCAGTGTACTATGTCTGTCCACAGGCTCAAGGAAGGCCAAGTTTAAGGGTAGTCTGTACTAAAATAAAATTCAGGTTTTGAGAAATGTGGGTTGCAGAATTTTCAGATTCCGAACCATCCCTAAATTTACTGGACAGCTGTCAATCATGGGAATTGCCTGCGTCCCTCTCAGCAGGGGATAGCCATAAATTTAAATACCTCAAATTTGTTTTGACCATTTTGACAGGGAGTAGCTTGAAATTCAACTAGCCCCAAAACACAATTTTTAATACAATCTAAAGCTGTTTATAAATTAGAGCTTTTTTGGTGAGCAACATACAAAATACATACTAAAAAGGCTCTTATGAAGGAAGATGTTACGCTGCTGCAGTAAGTTATAATAATACAGGGTTATTTATTAAAAAAATTATTGAAAACACATGTAACGGTAAAATTGGAGAATTTACAAAGTTATATTACAGAAAAAGAGAAAATAAGATTGTTACGAGAAATAAATCAAAAACACACAAGCACAGAGGTCGCCTTCAAAGCGAAGATTCAGATTATGGACCTGATTCTTCACATAAAGAAGATATTTCTGATCTGTCTCAAGATGCG